AGAGAGGAGCCATTGGGATGTCTGGGAGGAGGGAGCTGCCTATACAAATGCCCTGGGGCAGTGGTGGGCCTGGTGTGTGTGTGGAACCATGAGGAGCCCATCTGTGGAGGATGAGGAGTCGGGGTGTGGTCGGAAGGGTGAGGGGCTGGCCTTGAGTCCCTCCACTCTAAGAGGAGGTATGTGACCTGACTGGGTTGAAAGGTCCTCTGGCTGTTGGTTTTCAGTCCTGATCGAGGTGGGAACCAGTCCTAATCAGCCTGGTTCCTCCTTGATGTTCTCTCCCTCCTCGGGCCTCAGCCTGCAGGAGGTGGGATCAGAAAGCTTCTCAGCTGGACATCTTTCAATGGTCACCAGACTGGCCTGTCGTGGTGAGTGGCCTCCCTTCAGAGAGGCCGCGGTGCGGTTGAATCCTTGTTCCCAGAGGCACCATCGCTGCGCAAGCCTGGCTCGGGGTCTGCCTGTGTCCCCCTGGCTACATCTCCCCCAGCCTGTGACAGCTGCCCGTCTCCCCAGATGGGCCAGAAGGCCCGAGGTGTGACAGGCTTCACTACGACGCTCCCGGGAGATTCTGGCTAGTTGGACGTGTGTGATGCTCCGTGCTTTTGTATCTAATTCAGACTCTTGGGATTTAGCTGCCTATTATCTTAAATTCTGTTTGTTTGTGTCACTTAAACATTGATACCCGGTATCAACAAGGAGGGGCTGTCTGTGCACTCTATGAAGTATCCTGTCTTCCAAATTTGCTCACATCTCAACTTCATCCACAAATTGGATCCTTTCCCTCTATATTTTGGTGAACAGACAAACCCACAGCGTGTTGAGTAATCTCTGCGAGAAGGGATTTGGTCCATTCTGCACCAGCCCGGACGCTGCAAGGCTGAACAAGGTTCCTTGGTTGGTGGTGGGGGTGCAGTGGGGGTCTTCTGCCTTCTAGCCTCTTGGGCGCTGCTCATGAGGTAGGGAGTGCGCAGGCTTTGCCATGAGGGTCCCATTTCTCCCTCTTGAGGGCTGCCGTGGGGGAACTCAGCGCTTCTCCGAGTGAGACCCCTTGGGGGTGTGTGGTGGAGGGCTCGTGTCCAGATGCAGATTCCCAGCCCCTGAATCCAAGTCTCTGAGGTGGCCCAGGAGTCTGCCCCTTAGTGTGCTTCTCAGGCAACGCCGTTGCGCGAGAATCTGATCGCCACGCAGTCTCGGGAGGAGAGTAAAGGCCTGCAGTCCTGGCTCTGGTCAGCTCCCCTGAGATGGGCTCCGTCTTCAGATTCTGCTTAGGGAGGAACAGGGAATGTCTGGCTCAGGGACGAGAAGGACAAGGGAGCCCGACAGCTGCCCATGGTTCCAAGAAGGGCTGATGAGCAGCAGGACTGGGGCCAATGGGAGGAAGACATGAGGACTTTGCCTCCTCCAGGTAGCCTTGAGCATGTGAAGGCCAGGACAGCTGGCCCGCCCGCCTCCTCTCCCCTCCCTTCCTGTGAGCGTTTTCTGTCATGACTGTGGTGGTGGATATATGAGCCTACACAGGAGTAGAGCATATGTAACTCAATAGACACTCATGCACAGACGAGGAAGACAGAGGAACTCTGAACAAAGTAGACAGATCGTATCAGGGTCAATGTCCTGGTCGTGGTGTTCATGTACAGTTTTGCCAAATGTTCCCATTGGGGAAAACAGGGCAGAGTGTGTGGGGACTTCTCTGTTATTTCTTAGAACTGTGTCTGAGTCTATAATGATCACAACTTAAAAAAAAGAGGAGGGAATATTTCCCAACTTGTTCTATAAGGTCAGCATTACCTTATAACCAGACCCAGATAAAGACAACACAAGAAAATAAAACTGCAGACCAATATCCTTTGTGAACATAGACACAAAAGTCCTCAACAAAACATTAGCAAATTAAATCCAGTAATATATAAAAAGAACATAGTACATGACCAAGTGGGATTTACCCGGGAATGGAAGGTTGGTTTGATATTCGGAAAGCAATCAGTATAATCTACCGTATGCACAGACTGAATAAGAAAAGCCCTGTGACCATATCAACTGACAGAAAAACCATTCAACAAAATGCAACATCCATTCGTGATTAAAAACCGACAAAAACCTCAGCAAACTAAAAATAGAAGGGAACCTCCTCAGCCTGACAAAGGGCTTCATACATCTTTGTGTAAGAAAGAAAGATCTTTAAGATCTTCAAACATCTTAATGGCAGAAGACTGACTATTTCTCCCCAAAATCAGGACCAAGGCAGGGATATCCTTGTTCCCCACTCCTACTCAACATCGTACTGGAGGTTCTGGCCAGTGCAATAAGGCAAGAAAAAGAAATAAAAGGCATCTGGATTGGAAAGGAAGAAATGAAACCTTCCCTCCTCACAGGTGACATGGCTGTCTGTGTAGAAAGTCCCATGGAATCTGCACAAAAGCTCCTAGAACAAACAAGTGAGTTTAGCAGGTTGCAGGACACAAGGTCAACACAAAACAATCAATCGTACCTCCAGACACCAGCAAAGAGCACTAGGAGACTGAAACTAAAATACAATAACTGTATGTATAAAAATACGTCAATTGCTGTTAAATACACTGTGGGTCTGTGACTCTCGTTTGGGTTCACCCCATGAGCCAAAACCCCTTTCTGCCAACCTTGTCAGGAGGAGCCCTCTCTCCCTGGGCTTCCTGCAGTGCCGCTTTGGAACAAGCCCTTAAGATTCTCGGAGACTCTGCGTTTACTGTAGAGGCTCCCTGAGGTGCACCTTAAGATCCTTTGGGGGCCTCTTGTCTGTTTTAAAGGGTCTGTGACCCTCTCCCCCACTTTAAATTCTTCTGCCGTCTTAACAAAGGGTTTACAGCCACGCCCTTGGCTTCACCTTTAGACCGTCTTCTTCTCTTTGGCCTGAGGCCCTTTATCAACCTGAGACTCCTGTGCCACCTGGAGAATCTTGGAATGGGAAACAGTTCATTTTAATTTTATTTTTTAAACATAATGCAGTAAAATTGATTTCTTTTTTTGGTGTACGATTCTAAGAATTTTAACACACATACAGATTTGTGTAGCCACCACCACAATCAGGACTCACAACCATCCCCCCAAAACTCCCTTGTGCTGCCTTTTGAAAGTCACACCTTCCCTCCCACCCCCACCCAGGGCAACCAGTGGTCAATTCTCCATCCCTGCAGTTTTGCCTTTTTTTGAGGATGATGTATAAGTGGAACCACACAGTATGTAACCCTCTGAGTCTGGCTTCTTTCACTCAGTGTAACGCCTTTGGGATCCATCCCTGTTGTTGTGCGTATCCATAATCCCTCCCCTTTTTATTGCCAAATAGTATTCCACTGTATGGATGTACCACAGTGTGTTTATCCATTCACTCATTGAAGGACATTTGGGTTGCTTCCAGGTTTTTCTGATGATTATGAATAGAGCTGTTATAAACATTTGTATACAAGTTTTTGTGTGAATGTAATTCTTCATGTCTCTGAGGTAAATACCTAGGAGTGGGATTGCTGGGTCACATGGTGAGTAGACGTTTAACTTTATAATAGATTGCCAAGCTGTTCTCCAGAGTGGCTCTACCTTTCTCATTTCCACCAGCAGCGGAGGAGCGTTCCAGTTGCTCCGTGTCTTCTTCAACACTTGGTTTTGTCAACGGTTTCTTTTTAATCTCAGTAAGTCCTAGCTTCTTTACATTTCCTCTGAATTTTGCTTGAAAACTAAAGTTTATGTTTTTTTTAAACTCATCTCCCTCTCTTCTCATCACTTGCAGCTAAAAGACATCGGTTGGCACTTCTGTCTGGAAATCACCTTAGCTGGGTCACCCCGGCGTTTGGTACATTTTCTACTTCCCTTGTCACTGGAGGCCACGGTGCCGCCTGAACTTCTGCAGCTCTCTTTCCTGCAGTTTCCTTCGGGCTTCACTGACAGCAGAGGCTCAGACCTAACACAGCAATAACAGTTCATTTTGCTCACGAATCTGCAGATTGGGTGTAGCTCAGGGGGAAGGCTCATCTCTGCTCCACGTGGCATCAGGTGGGGGTAGCTCAAGGCTGGAGCATCCAAGATGGCTCACTCTTGTGGCTGGCGACCCCCCAGGGGCCGTGAACTGGGTGCACAGAGCAGATTTCTTCCTGTGGCCTGGGCTCCTCAGAGCACGGCCGCTGGGCTCCAAGGGCAAGGGTCCACAGCGGGCCAGGCCAGGTGGAAGTGTTATCCCCCCCTACTCATTGAGGTGGTCACACATGCTTGCCCCAGTTCAAAGGAGGGGCACGGACCCCATCTTTCCATGGAGAAGTGGCAAGGTGCTGAAAGAGCATGGGGGGTGGACATATTGAGACATAGTGTTGTGGCCGTTGTGGGAAATACTGTCTGCCGCAGTGGAGTAGGAACATACGATCTCGAAGGTTCCCCCCAGCCTTCTGTTGTTTAGGGAAGTGGGGGGGGGCGTTATAATGCAGCAGGACACAGTGCCCCTCCCGCGGATGTGCAGTCACAGAACAGAGTCATGGCACGTAAATGACAGAAGGCCAGAGCCCCCCACCTTGTCCATTGATACAGCTCCAGGGTCCGGGACAGTGAAGCGCACACGGCAGGCACTCAATTATATTACTCATTTAATAATAGCTTTTTCAGTTGTCAGTCACATACCAAAATATTCATCCTTTAAAGTGAACAATTTAGTGGTTCTTAGTATCTTCATAAGGTTGTGCATCCATCACCATCATCTATTTCAGAATTGGAATTTTCGTCACTGCCCCCCAGAAAATGCCGTCACTATTAGCATCACTCCCCGTTCCCTCCCCCAGTCCCCGGCAACCACTAACCTACTTTCTGTCTCTATGGATTTTCCTGTTCCGGGAGTTTCATATGGATGGAATCACACAATACGCGGCCTTTTGTGTCTGGCTGCTTTCAGGAAGCACTGTGTTCTCAAGGTTTATTAATGCTGTAGCACGAATCAATACTTCATTCCTTTTTATGGCCAGATAATATTCCATTGTGTGGATAGACCATTTTTAACTTCCATTCATCAGTTGATTGGCATTTGGGTCATTTTTGGTTTTTGGCTGTTATGAATAACGCTGCTATGAATGTTCTTGTACAAGTTTGTGTGGACGTGTGCTTTCATGTCTCCTGGAGGACACGAGGAGTGGGACTCTGGGGCACACAGTGACTCAATGCTTAACTCTTTTTTTTTTGGTGAGGAAGATTGGCCCTGAGTGAACACCTGTTGCCAATCTTCCTCTTTTTGCTTAAGGAAGAGTAGCCTTGAGCTAACATCTGTGCCAGTCTTCCTTTATTTTGTATGTGGAACACTGCCACAGCATGGCTTGATGAGTGGTGTGTGTCCACACCTGGGATTCGAACCTGCGAACCCTGGGCTGCCGAAGTGAAGCGCACCAAACTTAACCATTGTACTGCTGGGCCGGTCCCTCAATGCTTAACTTTTTGAAGAACCACCAAACTGTTTCCACAGTGGCTGCACCATCTCACACCCCCCCAGCACTGTGGGAGGGTTCCGATTTCTCTGCATCCTCACCAACACTCGTCATTTTCTATCTTTCTGAATCTCACCGTCCTGGGGGGTGTGAAGTGGTCTTTCACTGTGGATTTGATCTGTGTTTCTCTTGGTGCCTACGACATTGAGCATCTCTTCACCTGCTGATTGGCCATTTGAATATCTCTTTTGGAGAAATCTCTATTCAAGTCCTTTGCGCATTTTTTTTCTTTGTGTGAGGAAGATCAGCCCTGAGCTAACATCCGTGCTAATCCTCCTCTTTTTGCTGAGGAAGACCGGCTCTGAGCTAACATCTATTGCCAATCCTCCTCCTTTTTATTTTTCCCCCCCAAAGCCCCAGTGGATAGTTGTACGTCATAGTTGCACATCCTTCTAGTTGCTGTATGTGGGACGCGGCCTCAGCATGGCCGGAGAAGCGGTGCGTCGGTGCGCGCCCGGGATCCGAACCCGGGCTGCCAGTAGCGGAGTGCGAGCACTTAACCGCTAAGCCGCGGGGCCGGACCATCTTTGCACATTTTTAAATTGAGTTGTCTTTTAATTGTTGAGTTGTAAGGGTTCTTCATATATTCTGGACTCAAAGACTATTTTAAAACAAACACAAGGATAAAAGGAGCACAGTGCACCCCCGGAAGATACTGAAACCATTTCAGATCTTTACCTGTGTCTAACTCTTGAAAAACAGCATTTAATTCCTAACCCACAGGAAGGCTTTTGTTGTTCTCCATATTTCTCACCCTGGCAGCTGCCTCAAAGCTTCTCCAGCAGAGAATCAAGTGGGTCCCAGGGACCGTTGCAGATCCTGTCTGTCCCCCCGACTCCCAGCTTTCTTATCCCCATGGGAAGCATGGCCCTGTCTGCTGTGCCCTCCTACCCAGTCCGGGTGGCTCCCGCTCTGTCCCCAGGGATGTAGGAGGGCCGCCCCCGGAGCTCCCAGAGGGCAGGGGCTGGCCACAGGAGGAACCAGGACCATGGCCCGAGCAGACCTGAGGACGTGTGCGGTGTCCACGTACCTGCCGGAGGGCATGCCTGTGACCCTAGAGAGGCCTGCGGGGGCTGTCATTGCATCCAGTTCTGGCCTCTGAGGTAGCACTTCCTGCACTGTGAGTCACACAGCCCTGTGTCACCAGGGCCCAGGTGGCCCGGGGCCAGAGCCAGGCATGCTATAACCAGATTACTCTCTCCCCATTTTGGCTGCCTCTGCAAACCATCTGCTCTGTCCCTTCGCTGGGTCTGAATCTCAAGCCCGGCAAGCCATCAGTGAGGAAGGCAGGGGGTGGCACAGAGGTGGCCCAGGGTCCTCCACCCTGGCCCAGAGTCAAGGTAGGGTGGTGACTCTTGGGAGCTGCAGAGATCCAGGGTTGGGGGGACGCAGCACAGAGTCAGCTATGAGGAGGCCCTCCTGCGACCCATGGGAAGGGAGCTGAGCTCGGCCACCTCATTAATAATGACAAAGTCTCACCACTGCAGGAAGGTGGCCTGAATGTCAGAGCAGATCAGCTTGTGCCCCAGTCACCTGGCAGGCAAAGTGGCTTGTGAGTGCTCCTCTGCGAGGACCTCCCAGGCCGTGTACACCATCTTGAAACATTCAGGGCCCCATCCCACTGCTGTCTCAGCTCAGCGCTCGGGGGTTCACTGTGCAGATGTGGGGTTCTCTTCCTCCCTCTGTCCTCCCTGCATCGGGAGGGTGGGGCACCAGACCAGGACTGGCCGCGGAACCAGCAGACGGGAGTTGAGATCCTGCTGCCTTAGTCGGCTTGAGGTGCCATAGCCGTAAACTACAGATATTTGTCTCCCATAGTCTGGAGGCTGGAGGCCAAGGTCGGGGTGCTGGCGTGGTCAGATCCTGGTGAAAATTCTTTCTGGTTCGCACACGGCCCATCTCACTGTGTCCTCACGTGGTGGAGAGAGAGAGGGCTCTGCTCTCCTCTTCTTATGAGGGCTCTAATCCCACCCTGGGAGCCCCACTCTCATGACCTTATCTGACCCTGCTCACCTCCCAAAGGCCCCTCCCCCCAAAACCATCACACTGGGGGTCAGGGCGTCAGCACAGGAATCTGGGGGGGCACAAACACTCAGCCATAACACCTGCCTCTGCCGATTTATTGCTGTGGGACCTCAGAGAACATCACGGGGACCTCAGTCTCCCCTTCCACAGAACGGGGACAATTTCGATCACCTTTGGCTGGGGGACAAACGGCTCTTGGAGAGGCCGGGTGCTGCCCTCTCCACCCTCCCCATTGTGCACTGGCTCTTCCCCCACCCCTCACTCCTCCCAGGCTCGAGTGAGCAGCCTCCTCCTCCTGCCCCCAATCCTGGGGTCCCCCATGGGACACCTCCACCGGAGCTTTGATGCCACACGGCTCCAGCAGGGATGAGGCTGGTTCTCCTGCCTCCTTCCCTCGGTGGGACCACGTGACTCAGTTCACACCAGTGTGATCGAGCAGTGTTGTCTGCACAGATCTCCTGGAACTCCAGGAGGAGCTGGCGTGCCCCCTGCCCAGATTTTTTCCTTCTGTCTCCATCACGCTGCCAGGAGCCGAGGCTGCCACCCTGGAACACAGGCTGAGAAGGGCTGAGCTGCATGGTCTTTTTCCAATGACGCAGGGGAGGGCCAACGTCCCCCTGGCCCCTTAGGGCCCCTCGGGGGTTTTCACGTTGGAAACACGCTCCTCTCCACTTGAAGCTGCTGCTGTTTGTCGGCAGCGGACCTCATCCTCTGTGCTGACCCCTCCAGCCTCGTCTTTCTCTATCCTGCCCACTGTCTGGACGACTCACCCAGGCCGTCTGCGGGGTCTCCAGCATGACACACTAGCCTCACCTCCATCCCAAAGCCCTGTCTCCTTGGGGCCCCGGTGACTGCTCACCCTCCCGGACCACTCCGCTCCCCCCTCCCCTGCATCAAGATGTGTGTAGACGTCACCCCCCCAGGAAGCTTCTCCTGCCCCTCCCAACATCTGCCCCTGCTATGTGCCCCTGGCGCCCCTCCCTGGCTGGCCTGGCCCAGCGGTCACAGCGGTGAGCGTGGCAGACTCCCTCCCTGTGGGCCTCACCACCTGGTGGTGCAGTGGAAGCTGGTGGGTGTGGACGCAGCTGTCAGGACCATCAGAGGGAGGGAGCGTGTGTGGGCTCCGTGTGTATGTTTGCACACGCATGTGCGTGTGTGCGTCTGTGTGTCTGTGTGCTGTGTGTAGGGGGTGTGTGCGCTTGTGTGAGGTGCCGGGCATCCTCCCGAAGGACCCACAGGCTCACCGACCAGAAAACACAGATGAAGCCTGAGCATGACGCGAGTCTGAGCCGGGCAGGGGGCCCGCCTGTCGGGGCCTGGAGAAGGGCAAGCGGGGGATTCCGGGGCTGAAAGGGCATCCTCACGGAGAGTGGGGGATGCTCACGTCCCCTGAGGACGCTACAGTGCAGTGCAGGGTCCGAGTCCTGTTGGAGGGTGTTACAATAATTCCAACGTCCCAGCAACAAATGTTTATATTCCAGCCTGGAAATGGCTGGGAGAAGCCAAGAACTTTTCCTTCTTTAAACAGTGTGATCAACAAATGGGGACTCTGCACGGTGGAATATTATTTGGCCTTGAAAAGGACTAAAGCACTGACACACGCGACAATGTGGACGAGCCTCACAACGTGGTGCTCAGTGGACACGGCCAGAGCTCGACTCCACTTACAGGGAATAAGTGCCCAGACCAGGCGAACAGAGACGGAGCATGGCTCAGTGGCTGCCAGAGGATGATGGCGCAGGGGGCCCTTTTTGCTGTAAAGAGAATGCTCCAGTTGGCCGTGGTGATAGTTGCACAATTCTGTGAACAGACCACAGCCCGCTGGGTTGTTCACTTTACATGGGAGAGTTACATGGCATGTGATCTATTTCAATAAAGCTGTTTAAAAGAATGTGAGCTTAAATAAGTGCCGCCCAGGTGGGACCCCTCTCAAGGGCAGAGACAGGAGGGAAGGGATGCAGAAGCACCGGCAGCTGCCAGCTCCAGGTCCTGTGCTGCAAGGGGGCCGGGGGCTCCTCCGTCGGGGCGAGGGTGTCAGGGTCCCTGGTGCTGCCTGTGGGTCAGTCCCAGCGCCCCTGCCGAGCTGTGTGCCCCAGTGCCCCCTGCCCCCTGCCCTCCCACCGGCCTGGGTGTGCTGTCAGGTCTCCCAGGGCTTCTGCTGTCGCTCAGCTCAGGGCCGGTGTAGCAGGCGCTCGAATCATCCTTGAATGTCGTCTGTAAGGTCAGGGAGCCTGTTTGCTTCCTGCTCATGGCATAACCCCAGGCCCTGCCCAGCTCCCAGCACGTGGAGGTGGCCGGGCCCAGATTTGCAGAAGGACTGGCGTCCAGCCCACGTTTGCAGAAACATCTCCTGGGGGAGAGGAAGGAAGAGACTTCTGTTTTGGCTCGCATTTGTGGGGACAGGACCCCAGCTGGGGACGTGGACGGGGACTCCGGTCCACGAGGGCAGGCAGCTGGCAGGTCTGGTTTCCAGGGAGCCAGACTCCCAGGACGAGTCTGTGCTGCCCCCAAGTGCCCACAGGCTGCAACTGCGGATGTTCTGGGCTCCTTGGCGCCCACCTGGCGCCCACCCGGAGGGGCCGGAGCCGGGTGTTGGGCTCAGAGCTCACACCCCGCGTATGAGCCCGAGAAGCCCCGCCCCAGTCGGGGGCTGGAATTCAACCAGCCGATTCCGCCCCGCGCTGGGGAAGGAAGGGCACACCCCAGGATTCCTGAGGCCACAGTCCTCTGGACTTCACAGACCATCCCCAGAGGACAAGGGGACAGAGGTGTCCCACGTGCCCATTCGATGAGACAGGGGCGTTTGCTCAGGGCACTCAAATGGCACAGGGTGGGTGGGTCCCCGCCTTTGGCATTGCAGTGACTCGGGGTCGGGTGTTGGTCAGACTGGACCAATGCCCTGAGGCACCTCAGCCTGCAGGGCCACCAACTGGACCGTTTCCGTGTTGCTTCAACCATTGCTTCTTCCCAGAAATGTCTGGGAGCACTCGGATTGCCACGTCCTGACCCTCCAGGAGACGAAGCCGACAGGGTCATAGCCCAACCTGGTCACCGCTCCTTCAGATGTGGATGTTTAGGGACAGAGCCACCCACCGCCTGGTCTCCCTTTCATCCCTTTTCTCACACACGTGCATACACACGTGGGCACGCACACGCTCGTGCACGCTCTTCCAGCGCTAACGGCATGTCCGGCCACCGTGACCGGAATCCCAGTGATTCAGGTCATTCATGAAAGGGCTGAAAGTGGGACCCCGCTTGAGGATGCAAGCCTACCCGGCACTGGACCCTGGAGAGGGGAGATGCATGCGTGACAATGGGGCAGGGGTCCTGGAGGGGTGAGGGGGGGACACCTACCCGGGATGACCCCATGCCAAGCGAGTGCTCATCCTGGGGCAGCCTGCCGCAGACTTTGGGGCACAAACTCACAAAAACCCACACGAAGGATGTGCAAATTCACAGAAATAAAACACACTGGACAGGGACTATGCTTTAAATATTAAAATATATTTACGTACACACAATTTTAGCTGAGGTGCCCACACACATGCATCCCATGGACGTCTCGACACCTTCCGGGCAGAATTCACAGGTGCCTATGAGTTTCCTGCCATGCCCACCACACCATCAGATAAAAACAAACTCTACAAATAAGTGTTTATGCAAAATACAGGTCCATAAATACATGCTTATGCACTTTGCTCCCGTCCCCCTGCGGGGCGGTGCAGCTCTGAGGACAGGAGGCGACAGCAGGTTTTGAACAAAACACCCAGGAGAAGCTCCACGAGGACCGCGCCCCTGGGGACGGCCTCACACCCAGCTCCCCCTTCACCAGGAGGTCAGGGCCAGGCCGGGTACAAGACGCGCTGGATGGTTCAGAAGCACCAGCTGGCCCGCCGGCGCCCCCACAGTGGGGTCGGTGCTCTCTACCTTCCATCGAGCGACCCCACAACGCTGTGCGCCGTCAATGAAAGCCGAGCGCCAGTTCTGTGGGCGCGTCCAAGGTCGTGGTGGATGCTTCTGCATCTCCCGGAGGGAACAGTAACTTACAAATTGCCGGGCAGCCACCAGCTTCACACATCCGTTTAAAAAAGAAACAAGAGAGATGGGCAGCGTCTTGCCTAAACCCGAGGGTGCTTCTGCACTTTCATAAGCACGGACGGAGTTACGGACAGATGGCATAGGCTGTCTTCAGAGCCCCCCGTTAACGTGTCCGGGGTCCCCGAGGCCCCTGTCTACGCCATCCGGCTGCGTCCATTGGGAAACATCAGGAGAATGTGGAATGAGCAGGGAGAGGGAAGAGAAGGCAGCGCTGCCTCGGGCGCCGCGGGGCCACACGCCTTCCCAGCGGGAGAGCAGTCACCCCGTTCCCCTCCGGCCAGGGCCGGCTGGGGCCAGGAGGGCGGCACGTCCATTTCAGGTGTGCCTCACATTCTTTCTCCTTGGTGCCCTTGAGGCTCAGACTCACCTCCTGGCTCAGTCCCCCGAGGGTCCAATGGGAGATTCTGGAAGGGTCCTCAGAGCTGGGGGATCAATCAGCAGGGGGTCAGCCCTTCTGGGGAGAAATGAGGCAGTGTCTCTGGCCAGCCGAGTGGCTGGCCCCTGCCCCTGGACGGGCGTGTGGGCCATCAGACGTTATTCTGGAGCTGGAGGGCTGAGGGGTCATCCTGGAGGTCTGTAGGGTTGTCGGAGGCCGAGGACCGGCTGGGCAGAGAAGCTTCCAGGCCGTTGGAAGATCCCTTCGGGGGCTTGTACAGGACACAGGCAGCGGCAAAGAAGAGGAAGCCCAGGACCTGGGGAGAAAGGAGCCCGCTGGACCAGAGCCACCCGCCCAGAAGCCCCGGACGCTCACAGTCCTGAGCCCCCTGCCCGGCCCCGGATTCTCACGAGGTCCTGAGGACCCCTGTTCAGGTGAGAAGACTCATCTTTCCTGCATGGCCAGCCTGGTGTGGACACCAAGCTGTTAGTGAAGGAATGAAAAGTACCATTTGACTAACAACAGAGGCACTGGTGAGGTGGGAGGGCTTGTCGCGGGCTAACAGTGTCCCCCCAAAAGATATGTCCCAGTTCTGACCCCCAGAACCTGCAAACGGGACCTTTATTTGGAAATAGGGTCTTTGTACATGTAATTAAGTTAAGGATCTGGAGATGAGATGACTCTGGATTAGGGTGGGCCCCAAATGCAGTGACTGGTGTCCTCAGAAGAGAAAAGAGAAAGAGATTCGACACAGAAACACACAGAGGAGATGGCCGTGTGAACACGGAGGCAGAGATGGGGGTGAGGTGTCCACAAGCCAAGGACACCGAGGGCTGCCGGCAGCAGCAGGAGCTGGGGGAGGCTGGGATGGACTCTCCCTCAGAGCCCAGAAGGAATAGACGCTGCTGACACCTCGATTGTGCACCTCTGGCCTCCAGAACTGAGAAAACATCAATTTCTGTTGTTTTAAGCTGCCAGTTTGTGGTCCGATGTTGGGGCAACCCCAGGAATCTAACTGGGAGCTGTTCAGTACCGGCCGGGATGTCAACTTCAACCACCATGCCGACCTCACGGGTCATGACGGTATCACCCTCGGCCTTGAATATGGCAATGTGGGCATGCCTGCTGGCCTCTGCATACCCACGTATACATTTAACATTTAACATGCAGATGCGGTTTTAGCAGGAACACCTACTGTTTCCTGGAACATCACAGGGCTGAGGGGCCTGAACCGCATTAACTGTTATTAACATTAACATAAACAGCGAGGCTGTTTCTGCTTTGTGGCCTGGTGATGGATCAGTGGGACGGTATTTGGAGGCGGCACCTCTCTGCTCTCCCTGTTAAGATTATCATGAACTTTAGAAGCCAGCCCTGACCGCTGTGGTCCACGCTGGCTGTGCTGAGGTCCCGGGGTTTTATCTGGGCAGACAGAAGCCCCGGGTACCATCTGCTGCCCTGGGCAGAGGGTCCACACAACACAGAAGGAAGGGGACGCGCCCTGGGAAGGGCGGAGCTCTTCACAAGTGACCCCTTGCTCACCCAGAGCCACAAATCCTTCTCCTACTTGGCTATTTTTATGCTAATCCTTGGGAGATAAACCAAAGGGGCTGAGAATCCTCTGTGTTTTCGAGGACTTTCAGGGAAAGGCTTGAGGCAAGAGGATCCAGCCAGTGGAACAGTCCTGAGTCCTCCCTCCAGAAGCGGATTGGCCTAGGAGTTAATTTTATTTGGAAGGTTTTGTGCCCTTTCCTCCATGGGGGGAAGTTGAAAATACAGATGCTGTGCTTCTCCCCACCCAGCATGAGCCAAGAGATACAGCACGAAGTTTCTCTTAACAGCCTGAAGACAGGGTCAGGCTAAGAAAGAGGACGGGCTTAAGGCTCATGAAGGTTGGAAACAGAGTAATGTCCATGTGGTCCACGCAGCCGACCGGCCCCGGAGTGAGCTGCCTGCCAGAAGCGGCTCCTGCAGGGAGCAGCCGGCCTTTGTCTCCGAAACCTTAGCTGGCCAGAGCCACTGGCAAACCACCAGCCGCGCTGGGGAAGGCCCCGGGAGGCCAGGGACTCCTAACGCCTGGGCTGTGACCTGGGGGTGGCCCTGTGGCCCCGGGGCCTGCTCTCCCACTGTCCCCTCTACTGTCATCACTTCATCGCGGCCCAACAATGACGGCTCTAAACGTGGAAAGGATGCGCTTCTGGAAACCGGCTGCAGGAGCGATGCTCACAGCCACCCTGCCCAGCGGGGTTTAAGCTGCCGGGAGATCCCAGGGGAGTGAGTGCCCGGACCCCCTAGCCAGCTGGAGAAGGCCCTTGGCCTTTTGGAGTAGACCCTTGGACCTGCTCCCTCCAGTGCCCCTGGAAGCAGACGCCAGCCCTCCTCACCTTGTACACCAGCCCGGCAATGAGCATGTAGCGGCTCATGGCTGCATTGTGGTACACGTAGCAGGAGCCCTGCTGCCCGCACTGGTCCTGCCAGAGCAGGCACGCCTTGTCGATCAGCCAGCCGAAGGCGATGGGCCCCGGGATGCCGCCTGAGGAGAGAGGCTCCCTCAGGACCCTGCCCAACACGCCTGGTGCAGACAGGGCGGTGTGGGCAGTGCCAGAGACCCGTAATGTGCAGCCCCTCAGAAAGTGGCGTTGGCCATTGGTGTTCTCAGGCAGTGCCAAGGGGGCTTAAACATTCCCTCCTCTGGGGACTCGGCATCAGCCGGGAGATTCCCCATGATCTCCGACTCCCATGGAGCCTTCGTGTTAATGAGGGAAAGGCACTCTCTGGGCAAATAAAGGACCATGGGTCCCTCTAGCGGACTGTTAGGGAATGGCGTCCTTCCCTGAGGTGTGCACAGCCTTGTGCCGGGATGCCTACCAGCATGGTGAGGAGACACCTGCTGGGTGCCCTTGTGCAGTGAACACACTACACAACTGTGCCTGGCTTCCACACGCTGCACAGTACCTAAAATTCTAACCACAATCCACTGGATTCCCAGCGCAAAGGATCTCTGCTGGTCACAGACGCACCTGAAATGGAAGACCACAGCGTCAGCGCCCTGGGAAGTGTGGTCACTCACCACGTCATACCCCAACCCCAGCGGCTGAGTCCCAGCTCAGCCCCGGGCCGCATCGCTGCCTCCCCAGGTGGCGTTAGCTCTTTCCTGCTACAGTTTTCCGGGGGACCCGGCACGTACCCCGCAGGACCTGCAAGGCTCCACCTTAGCGTGCTGCAAGGGAAGGTTCCGGACAGAGCAAACCCAGCCCATGGCTTACCGTAAGGTGGCGGTTAGCGCAGGAATGCTGCTGAGGAAGGTAAACATAATTACAACGAATATGAAAACCAGAAGGAGGGGCTTTCTCTGACAAGTTGAAGTGCATTTCCCTGCAGTGGCATGGCCAAAACCAGAGGAACAATTCTGAGAGACACAGCTACAGTCTCGGTACACCTGAGGGGCGCAACAAGAGCGCTGATTACAGGAGGAAGGCACAGGGGCCCGCCCAGGTCCGGGCGCCAACGGGGACTGGGCAGCGGCTGCACTCACCTTCTGGCCGCCGGGGCCGGGCACAGCCACCTCTGGGCATCCCGCGTGGCAGGGCGAGTAGTACATGAGGCCGTCGGAGCCACACACGGGGCTGTAGTGTTCCGGTCGGCAGCCACAGTCGGCGTTGCAGGCGGCCATCAGCTCCAGGGGGCCTCGGGGCGGGAGGCTGCGGGTGGGAGATGACGGGGCGGTGGGCGGAGGCCAGCGCCAGGCAAGGCGCCCCACGGACACAGGCACAGCCTCCGGTCTCATCCCCACCAGCCCACGAATGCGGGTTCATGAACTCGCTGGGTTTGCTGCCCCCGAGGAACCGTGCTCCCTGCGTCGCCTTTGCTCAGGGAATCGTTGGAAATTCTCACGGCAAAGCGAACCCAGCCCCGCGCTGCTCCCCAGCGTGTGTGCAACGTCCCCTAACTGATCTGCGTGGTGGACAGGCCACGCGTTCACGTGGCTCAACACGCGAAAATGACAAAAGGGTACCAAGTACAAACCCCCCATGCCGGCACCCTGTTCTCCAGCGCCCTGCCCCTACACATTTGCACAGATCACGTATCCGTGCACACGACAGTGACCACAGACTGCACCCTTTCCCTCTTTCGCTCAGATTGAGCACACTGTGCCCACTGTCCTGCTCCTTCTGTTTGTCCGCTCTACACCGTAAAGTCTTGGCGCTTCCCCCTCCCCTCAGGGTGGCCGAGCCTCCAGGTGGGGACTGTGGCAGTTCAGCCGTCAACCTGCCACCAACTCCTAGGTGCTTTCTGATCCCAGCTGTCTCCAACCACACGACAACCGCACCCTTCTACTCTGCAGCCCCGCCCTGTCACCTCCGCGGGCATTCCCAGAGAGGAATCTCAGGGCCCAGGGGCAGGTAGCCTGCATCTATTTTAGAGATTCCCACAATGCCACCTGACGGGCTGGTCCCCACATTCCCATGACACAGCAATGCCTGGAGCCGGTCCTGGGCCCCTTTCTCATCAACACACAGCGCGGAGCTGGGGCGATTACCGTCCCCTTCTCCAGACGACAAGACTGAGGCTCAGGTGCCGTTTATAAACGCCCCTTAATTGGTGTAATTGGCACCCTGCTGAGGGGTCGTCCTTGCTGGTGTCCAAACAGTGACCTCACCCCAAGTCCTGACCCTGCCTCCCCCGCCCTCCTGGGACCGTCGGGGCCCTGACAGGTGTGCTGGGGTCTCCCCTCTACCCAGGTGCCACCCGGCCCTCACCTGCCGCCGTAGCTGGCCGTCACGCCGGCCATGGGTACGTTGGGGCAGTGCAGGGAGAACACGGAGAAGGCCAGCAGGCTGGTCAGGGTGCAGAGCAGGCAGAACCTGACGACACCTGAGCCGCGGAGCTTGAACTTGTTCACCAGGAAGCCGCCCAAGAACGTGCCGCCGCCGCCTGCCGGCACCACCAGGTACCCTGCGGGAGAGGAGGGGCTCAGGCACGGGCTCAGTGAGTCCTCGGGAGCCTGCGGGTGGGGCCATTAGCCCACTGGGTCTTATTATCTCTACTGTACAGATGGGGAAACTGAGGCCCAGAGTGATCACTCCCTGTCCGTGTGGCAACACCGGGCTTGGCAGTCACTGCGCCCGGCCCTGACCTGCACTCTCAGCCACTGCTTGGGTGGGGGGCGGGGGCCCCCTGGGAGAGCCTTGGTCAGGGGCCTGCTGGTGCAGGGGCGGGGCAGGACTGGGACGAGGAGAGGTCCTGCCCCAGCTGACAGGAGGCCCACCAAGGCCTCCGCCAAGTCCAGCATGAGGGGACATTGGAGACCCTGCAGCCTCTGCCATTTAGTGAAAAATTGGGATTCGTTGGCATGTGGCTCCCAGGCCATCCCAGGGGCAGGTGCACATGGCACTGGGGGCTCGCTAAGGGGCAGTGGAGGCCACCTCAAAGCCCCCAGGACTCGACGGGCTCATCTCCCCAGCAGTGATGGAGGGCAGCTCTGGGGGTGCAGGAGAGGGGATCCCAGAGGATGCAGCTGTTCCAGGAGAGGGGTGTTGGCACAGAGAAAGGGGGTCACTGTGGGGAAGGGGCAGCAGTTGTGGGCGGGGGTCTGGGTATGTGGGGTCAGCCAAGCGGCCAGGAAGGAGGGGTGTCTGGGAGCATTAATCAGAGAAGGGGGGGTGGGGCCCCTAACCTGATGCCCTCCTCCCTGAGGGGTGGGGCACGGCTGGCATTGACCCGTGTGTGCTCAGATGCACCCCACCTTCCACACGTGGTGCTGACCCCACGGCCAGGATCAGCCCCACATCCAACGCTAACCCCACGTACGTGACGACCCCACACCTTCTGCCGGGCGTGTTCTTGGGGAGGCCGAGGCTGTGCCCCCAGCACAGGGCTACCCCATGAACAGCGGCAGAAAGGGGGGCTCTGAGGAGGGTTCCCCTCTCCTGGGAGGGCCAACCTGCCTCTGGCCACAGAATGCTTCTGGCCGGGCAGGTCCAGAATCTCCACCCTCACGGTCCTGTGAGACCCTGGGACATCGGCTGCCCAGCTCACGGGGACGGCCAGGCCCGAGGGTGCCCAGTGGGTATCACGACCCAAACTGCTTCTGCAACAAGCCAAGGATGACGGAGGCTGCGGCCCCAGGTGGCAGGCGGGCGGTGCAGTGATCAGGAGCCCCCCAACCTGGCCCCCCAGCTAGAGCGGGCTCCTGCTAGGAGGGTGGCGCAGCCCCTTGGAGCCTGCGGAGAGAGCTGGTCAGTGTGCCACACACACTGTGGTCAGCACTTCCCACACCACCCTGGGGCAGGACGGTTCTGCTTCTGTAAACAGTCAGAGCAGCAGCGTCACCTTGTCTGAAAGCCCCAGAGGCTGGCTCTCGGGGTCTCCCTGCCTGGCTGGACCACACACCCACGTGCTCACGGGTGGAGGAGCTATCTGGGCTTTCCAGCAGATGCTCAAAGAACCCTCCCCCGTCTGAGAACTAACAAGAAAGCAGGGGACCCCCAAGACTTGGAGAGTTTTCTCACCAAACAAGGTGGCAGCTTCCGAGGCGCTCAGGCTGAACTGGGACTCGAGGAACTTGGGGCCAAAGGTGGACATGCCGGCGATGAGAGTGGTCTCAGTGGCCCCGGCCAGGCAGAGCAGGATGAACGTGGGGTTCTTCAGGAGGAGCCAGATGGAGCTGGACAGGGGAGCAGGCAACAGAGACCAGAGAGAAGAGACAGAGGTCAGAGTGAGCCAGAGCCAGCGTGTGAGGAAGTTGCATTTCCCGAGGTCATGGCCCTTCCCACCTGAGCACAGAGAGCCCGGTTCTGAGAGGGGAGTGGAGTGGGATGCAGGTGAGCTGTGGGCACCCCACATCTATTCCAGAGAAACCAAGAGGGGGTGCGAGGCTGGGCTTTGGCAGGTGGAGAACTGGCGCCTCCAATCTGAGCCTGTGGCTTGTTGTGAAAGCTGCTAGATCTGGCCATGGAAGAACGGTATCACCGCCTTGGCCAGAGTTCCGGCTTCGGTGTGGGGAGAGACGCCAAGTGACTGCGACACTGTTTAATCACCTCCAGGGGCAGCTGTGAGGACCAGAGGGGCCTGAACTGGGAGCCAGGAGGCTGTGGGGCTCCAAGTCTGGGACTGGACAGGCCCCCTCGACAGGGGAATGGGACACCGAGGGGGGCCCTTCTCCACCCCCAGCCCTCGAGAAGGGGCCAGAAGCCCTGTGGATTTGGAGAGAGAGGCCCCTCCAAGGAGCCCCTGGGGGGCTTGGCTGGCTCCCAAACCTCTCTTGGGGAGCACTTGGTGGGGGTGAAGCCAGGGCCTGAGGAAGGGTCTTGGTGTTCACCCCTTGGACCTGGCCTGTCCAGGGGGGAGGGAAGGCGGGCACCAGGCCTCTGTCTCCCTGTAGCGGGGAGCGAGATGGTGGCTCTGCAGGATGGGTTTCAGGAGTGTTGGCTGTGGGCCGTGAACCTGGAGGTGCCACATCGCACCCCGCAGCTTCCACTTGCTCCCCTGGGGTCACAGCAGAGTGGCGGGCTCGGCGCCAGGTCCTGCCCCACATCCATCCGCTCGGGAGATGAGCACAAAGGCTCTTGAGGGCCCCTCCTGGCTGCACTGGGCTCTGGCTTCGTTAAGGTTTGGGGGCCCAGCAGTGTGGCACCCGAGTGCGCTGTTTAAACGCGTAAGATGCTGAGGGACCATCAAGACATCACGAGTGAAATGAAACAGGACAAAACAAACCCCTCCTTTCTGGGCAGTGACGGAGGCAGAGCTCAGAATGGGAAACACACAGATGACCACCACTCGGGGTCTGGAAGTGAGGCGGCTCATCCTTTGTGGGGCAGCCATCACCCCGGCCACACACGGCTTTTCTCCACACTTGCGCCTGGCCCAGCACAGAGGAGCTTGTTGAGGCGGTTATGTCCCTGTCCCTAGAATGTGTGAGTGACATGGCGGGGGCAGATTTCTTTCTGGAGCCCGGGTCAGGGCAGGACAGGTCACTCTCTCAGTGACCACTGTCCGGCTACTACAACTACTACCAGCTGGCTGGGAGAGTGGCCCTCCTTTGTGTACATTCTCCGAGTCTACAGCTGAGGGCTGTTCTACAAAGGGAGGCAAGCACCTGTGTCTGTCCCCGTGTGCCTCCTGCTCCCGAGAACTGGCTTCCACAGACCCCAGAGTCATCCTCGCCCAGGAGGGAGCCTGGGTCCAGGGGTCAGCCCCGACACCTCCCGGCACTTGTCAGAGAGACTTTGGACATCTTGACCCTCAGATTGTTCTTCATTTTGAGGACACAGGCCAACAGTGACTTGGACTCTGGAAAGTAGGAACGTGCCAGGAGGGAGCTGACTAAGGAGGGACGCCCACCCGGGTTTTCAGACACAGCAACTACGGGACGCTCGTTGACTCTCTCAGATTAACTGCTGACCAGCCCTCACAGCCTCATCCTGGTCCTGACTGAAGTGGGGGGACCCGAGTCCTTCCATTGACTTTCAAACTTGAGCCCTGAAAAGGCTTCTTTCTGCTCAACCACTTGGTCCCACGTCCCTGAGGGAAAGAACGGCTGCAGAGGAAATGCCACCCAGAGTGGGTGCCGGCCGAGTGGGGGCTCCGGTGGGCTCAGGGCATCAGCCCTCCCCAGCACCTTCTCGGGGGTGGGGCTCTCAGGTCCTGCTCCGTGTGTGTGTGAGGGGGTGGGGGCCCTGGTTGTGGCCGGTCACTTCCCCGGGCCTTGCCCAGACCTGCCCTGGCTTCGGGCACTCAGCTAGGCTCGGACAGGAGGTGACTCTCCCCAGTGGTATGCAAACTTACTCCTTTCTTAATCCCGGCCCGTATGTTGCTCGGCTGAAAGTCTTGTGTTGCATTTGCTCAGAGAACTAGTCATGACCTTAGTAGAGGGCAGGTGTTCTGGGATTTACTTTATTACCAGCAACTGGTTTGGGGAACTGAGCTGGGGCATAAACTTCCTTAACTTGGCCCACGGTCCTGGGTCCACTGGGGACCAGGCTGTTGATGTGCTCCGGCCCAGCACTTCCAGAGAGGAAGCAAGGCCTGGACAGCACGGGGACTTCCCTGGAGGCCACCCTTGGCCCTGACACTCCTTCAGCCTCCCTGTGTTGAAGACAGACAATGGGGGCTCATTCCCGCCGCTAATAGCCCCGGCCCCCAGTGTGGCCAGTTGGAGGCAGCCATTCTCAGGCTCAGACTTGAGGGTGCTGCAGGGGCAAGTGGGCGCTCGGTGAGACCAAGGACTCGGGTGGGTGGCCATCCAAAGCCCTCCTCCCCCAGCCCCAGGAGAGCCCCCCATGGAACGCCTGGTCACATGAAGAGGGGCGCTGGGCGGCTGGGCCCCCCAGGCCCCACGTCCCCGAGACCCTGGCAGCCCAGGCCTCCGTCTGTCCCGACTGTGCATGAAGACCACGAAGCAAGACCAGGTCATGCACAATGAGGACCAGGAGAACCCAGAGTGAAGACAGAAAACAGATATCCGCATGCTTGAGAGGAGGGGCAGGTGGGGGGCGGCGAGGGCAGGAGGGCCGCACACGGCTCCGCTCCTTCCGGGGTCCTTGGATACCCTGAGGCAGGGAGGGCGGCACCAGCCTGCAGCCTCCGGGGGCCACGCGCATGTGGTGCTTAATGAAATGGTCAGAGGATGAGCCAGAGCGAGGGCTGAGGCCCTTTCATCTAGACCAGCCCTTGGCGGCTGCAGCCCAGGAGGTCTGTCTGCTGCTCCCCAATCTTTTAGCCCAATTTCGGGGCTGAGAGCTAAGTTTGCCAGGTCATGACAGAGGGTCAGGAGCTGCCCTCACCACTGGCCCTGGAGGGGTCACATGGACTCTTCTAGTTTGGGGCCAAGACCCAGCATGCGTGGGAGCCCCGAAGGGCCTTTGGGGCACACACGTGCAGGCGAGAGGCGCATTCACCCCCCAAGGTCCTTACAGAGGCAGGTCTCGGATGGTTTTCCCGAAGTCGGGGTTGCTGGCTGCCTTGTGGCCACTGTCCTTTAACTGGTATGTTTCAGACGCTCTCATGACCACGTAGCGCTGGGAACCTGGGAGCACACAGACGTCAGCGAGAGGCAGGGACCAGAGGCCCACCTCGAGTTCCCCGCCCCAACACCCCCATCCTCTCCAGGGTCTGGGAATGTCCGGTGGACGGAGGGCGAGGGGAGAGCTGTCATGTGGGACTGCACAGGGGGACGGGCTGGAGTGTGGGGCTGCACAGAGGGACGGGCTGGAGTGTGGGGATGCACACAGGGACAGGCTGGCAGGAAAGGGAGGTGGGAGAGAGCCAGCAGGGAACAACCTGGGGCCACAGGGAAAGAGAGGAATTGAAGGGACACTGTGCCCCCCCCCAAGCCGGCTGAAACAAGCTCCTTCCAGGGCCCCAATGGGGAGAGGCCACGGGGTGGAGGGAGCCCACGAGCTGGCCAGGCCTGCCCTCTAGGGTGGCAGCACCTGCCCAAAAAACTAAGGTCCCAGACTCTCCCAAATGACCAGGAGAAGGAGCAGGACCTCCGCTCACTCGGTGGGGGGAGGGGCACCCACCTGGCAGCTGCCGCGGGTAGCCAAGGATAGGCACTGCGATGAGGAAGGCGGCGGCCCCAGCACCCAGAAAGCCGACCCACCAAGCGCCGACCCACAGCGGGCTCTCGGTGGTCAGCTCTGTCCTGTGGGAAGAGGCACTTGGGGTCAGTGTCCGGCCCACACGCATCCAGGGCACATGCTGGGCATCCCTCTGCTCACCAGTCCACGAGGGCCCACTGTACTCTGGCCTCAGGTCCCCGCCCATTCTGGGGTCCCCAGGGGCTGCCTCCCAATGAGGCCACATGGGGGCTGGGGCCCAGGAGAGGCAGGGTCTCCCAGTAAGAGCAGGACGAGGTGCCCACCCCAAAGCAGTAGGGACGGGGGCAGCTGGTGCCCTGGCTTCAGGAGGCTCAGGGGACGGAAGGCACAGCTGGGGCTCGCCTGGGACCACAATCTGCACATAGGTGCACTTTCAAATTCAGAGGTAAGTGGGAAAGAATCATCAACGGGGGAAATCTAGGGGGGAGGGCAGAGGCCAGCCGAAGGCCCAGAAGGACCAAAAGGGACGCAGAGAGCGCCGGCGCCCCGTGTGGCCACTAGAAACAGTGCAGCCCTCAACAGGTGGGCAGGGGCTCTGCCTTGCTCTCCCACAGAGAGGTCACGCTGGCCTCGCTCTGCCCGTCTCCCCTTCGTGCCAAGCGGCCCAGATCCCAGAGCGGGGGAGGGTGTGGAGAGTGAGGGACACGAGCCCACCGACCTCAGGGCACTCTGCACAGAATGACCGTATTAGTCAACCTGAGGCCAGAGGTGGCATTTGTACCACCAGGTCAGAGCACTAGAAACCTTGATGAGGAGCGGGCCATCTGCAGAGACAGCCCTTGGTGCAGCGGTGACCACTGCATGTCTCAGCAGACAGCCAGGAAAACTATCCCAGATGGGAGACTTCAGGACGGGCCCTCCCATGGGAGACGGGCCAGCCCCCAGAGCCCGCTCAGTCGGAGGACACAATTCCTCCCTCTCTCCTTCCCTGACGCTCTGTTTTTTTCTGTCTCTCTCCTGCTCAAATTCACAAAAACTAGCATCACAAACAAAAGACACAAGGAAATGAAAGAAACACAAGGTGACATGGTAAGAATACATATTTGGTCTCTGTCTGGGTTCCTGACACAGAGCTCCTGAGCCCCTTAGAATTTCCTTGGTGACAGGAGTGTCTTTTGTTCCGATGTGGCCTCTTGGTGGGACCCTAGAGGGCTTCCAGTGGGGCTGGTCACGGAAAGACCATGTGATTAGCGAGCGGCAACTGTCAGCCCCACACCCGGGCCTCTGGGAGGTTGCCGATCACCCACAATGATTCAATCAATTGTGCCCCGTAACGAAGCCTCCACAAAAACCCTGACCAAAGGGATTTGGGGAGCTCTGGGTGGTGAGTGTGAGGAGGTACTGGGAGGGGGTGCACCCCGAGAGGGCGTGGACCCCACCCCTCGCCCTGGGCATCTCTTCTACCTGGCCGTCCCTGAGTTGTCCCCTGTGTGATAACCTGGTCCCCTAGTGGAGTGTAAAATGCCTTCCTGAGCCTGTCAGCCATTCCAGCAAATTATCGAGCCCAAGGAGGGGGTCACGGGGACCTCCGATTTGTAGCCAAGGTGGACAGAGGTTGTGGGTGACCCAGGGACCCAGTACTGGCTGGTGTCTGAAGTGGGATGGTCTCGTGGGACTGAGCCCTTAACCTGTGGGGTCTACACTGACTCCGGGGAGGTGAATTTAGGACACCCAGCTGGCGTGGGGAGAGAATTGCTTGGTGTGGAAAACCCCACACGAAAGAATCTCAGGTTGGCAGCAGGAAAACCAGCTCTCAGTTATGCAAATGGCGTTAGAGAAGTTGTGGCCCGGTCCCACCCAGCTCCGGGAAGCCGTCTGTCCACACTGCCCCCCTCAGGCCGGCTGTCAACGCCACCCACAGACTCCCAGTTGCCCCAGAGCAAGGCTGGCCTGCACTTCTTCCTGCTTGGGGCTGCGGTCCAAGGGCACAGACACTCCCGCCGCGCACCCGGCTCTGCGAGAACCACCGCCCAGGGGCCCTCGGGTCCTGCACAGAGAGTGTGGCGCTTTCTCTGTAGCGTGAGCGACACAAAGGCAGGATGGAGCCCAGTCACTCACCGTCGGCCTATTTCCGTGTAAATGTTCAGCAGGGCGCCTCCGATTAGGTAGCCAGCTGCAGGGCCCAGTATGGCCGCGGTGTAAAAGATGGCTAGAAGGAAAGCAGAGCGTTGGGGGCCCACCACGCCCTGCTCCGCCACCCAGGGGCCCACAAGTGTCTGACACTCAGAAGACACACAGGCCCACCTAAGAGAGGCCCCCTCACACACCTGCATTTCTGCACCTGGCTGCACCCCCCCCCCGACCACATCCACCACCTGAGGCGCTCCAGGTGAAGGAAGGCCTGTGCTCACCTGCTACCTTACCTAGGAGCACCTGTGGACCTGCTACCTTACCTAGGAGCACCTGTGGACCTGCTACCTTACCTAGGAGCACCTGTGGACCTGCTACCTTACCTAGGAGCACCTGTGGCCACGGGTGACCACGTGTGATCACGTGGGGCCAACGGGGAAATGCACATAAGGGCTTGGATGAGGCCAGGCTCCAAGGAGGCACCTGGTCAGTGTCAGCCACAGTTACACCCACCCCATCCCCTGGCTGGCCCCACTCACCAATGTAGACGGGCGAGTAGCTGGACTTGACGTTCTCGTCCAGGTAGGTGACGCCCAGCGTGTAGAGCGGCGTGGCGCCGACGCCGTGCAGGAACTGGCCCAGCATGAAGACCAGCCGGTAGCTGGACAGGCCCGAGGTGCTGTCCCCGCACGCCATGCTGCCGTTGGCCCGGCACGTCCCAACGCCCTCGTCCACCTCCACCTGGTAGGGGCCCACGGCGAAGTGGGGCAGCGCGAACACCAGTGAGCCGGCGCCCATGACCAGCACACCCCAGCCCAGCCAGCGGGGCTTGTGTCCACTGCCCCCAAAGTAGCTGACGAAGGTGAGGCAGAGGCAGGCGGCCACGTCGTAGGAGCTGGCGATGAGGCCGCTCTGGTAGCTGAGCAGGTCATAGCGGCGCTCGATGGAGGTGATGACGGTGTTGATGAAGCCGTTCACCGTCATGCCCTGCAGGAAGGAGGCCACGCACAGGAAGAACAGGAAGCCCCTGGGTGTGTTGAAGGCCTGCAGGCACTCAGGGGTGAAGGCCCACCAGCCACACGCCAGGTTCTGTGGTCCGGCAGACACGTAGCGCACCTCACGGGCCGCCGGGGGCCCAAGCTTCTCGGCTGGCGGCTTGCACAGCGGCCGGCTGCAGGAGTCCAGGGGGCTATGGGCAGCGGAAGGCAGGGTGCTGTGGCTCAGGGGCGAGCTGAGAGACGCCCGCCTGCTGGGGGGGGTGCGGCCACACCCGCTGTCCCCGGCCGAGGGTGGGCTGGGGAAGACCAGCTGCGGCATCGAGATGAAGGGCTTGTCCCCCATCGAGTGTTGGGGCATCTCTGCCGAGGGGGTGACAGTGCCAGCAACGGAAGTTGTGAAACGGTATTCCAGGGGCCGGTTTGTTCTGTGAGAAGAATTTCTGGTGAGCAAACTTGCATCTAGCCTTGAACGCATTTACATCTTGGTGAGAATGCTTGTGCACGCCCTGTCCTTCAGGGTAGCCAGTGGCTCTGCCTACCTGGTACCCAGTCTGGTGGAGTTGACCCGCCCTGAGCAGTCCCCTCCCCAAATCCAGGGCCCCACCTGGACCCACACTTGGGGCAGCATGTCTGTCGCCACAGCTCGGCAGGGGGAGGGCATGTGCCCCGATGAGTCATAGGGCACAGCCCGCCTGAGCGATGCCGCAAGCGGTGAGCAGAGCTGAGACACGGCAGGACCGAGTCAGACACCCGTGTGAGCCCCTGAATCACCCTGACCTGCACTCTGCCCCATGGTTTTGCTCGGCCAGTGAGCTGTGGGTTCTGCCATTTGCAGCTGGCAGAGCCTGAGAGCCTCCCCACGTGGACACACTCTCTCCGCTGAGCCTGGATTCTCCCCTAAACTCACACCCACCAGCTTTAGCTGCCCTTTAGCATGAAGGAGAAATGCCTCCTAGTCCAGAGTTGTAGGGTGTGGGAAATGAGGAGGGGGATAAGCGCCGAGGCCCGGACCCCAGCCCTGGAGGCGCACCAGCTCTGGGGTTGTGCTGGAGAGAGGGCTGGCGGCACTGGGCCTCACTCGTTCCACGGCAGCTGCGTTCCCTGCCTGTGGCAGGTTTTTCAAAACGCTAAACCAAGGCACAGTCTGCACCAGTCTCTGGGGACAAGTTAACAGCACCAACATCCCACCTTCCTGCTGAACTCCCGCCGGCCCTGTCCTGTCGCCCGATTGGGCCCTCACTTCCCACTGCTTGCCCCACCGACCAGAAGGAGCTTGGCCTTAGTTGAGCCATCGCTGCATCACGAGGCTCCTGGGGGCTCCCTGTGTATCCCCAGCGCCCCCCAACACCTGCTTTTAGAACGGGCGGCAGCTTCTGCCGGCTAAACAGCTCCTCCCGGATGCCCCAAGGCTGCCTAGGACTCCAGGTGCATCTTAAGAGGAAAAAGGCTAGTTTTCCACCAGAAATAAACCAGTCAACACGCACATGCAGTCACCATGATAGAAAACCTTTGGTCTTCACTGTACTCACACAGCTCCTGGGTGCCCTCCATGAGGGTCTTCTGGCAAATGCAACATACTTCCCATGGGCGGAGCTGTGTCCTCCCCAAAGAAGAGACTGTCGGACCCGAACCCTAGCACTCAGAAAGTGAGCGTGCTTGGAGACCGGGCCTTTAAAGACGGGACTTGGGGAAAATGAGGTCGTCAGGGCGGGCCCTGGTCCACTAGGACTGGTGTCCTTAGAAAGGGGAAATTTGGCCACAGACATGCACACGGGAAGAGCACAGTGTGAACGTGACGGCCGTCCACACCAAGGAGAGAGGCCAGGAGCTAAGTCTCCTTCCCGGCCTCAGAAGTAACACCCCACCCACACCCGTGGCTTGGACTCCCGGCCTCCAGAATGGAGATAACTGTCTGTGGCCCTCTGTCCGGCAGCCCCAGGACACTGACACACTGTCACCGTTTGGGTTGGGCCACTTCACGTTCAGAGGCTCCAACGTGTCTGAAGCACGGTCACTCTGGAGAAGATCATGCCACGGAGGCACGAGAAACACCACCGGCTTGCACTCAGAGGCGTGGGGGAGCTGCCTGCTGGCCTCACCGAGGGCTGGGGCCCCAGTAGCAGCGACTCGGGGCCTCGAGGGGTCCTCAGACCCAGACGCAACTGGCCTCAGGGCCTCACTTCCATCCACACCCCCACCGCACAGGGGGACGCTGGGGCGTGGGGCCGACCCTGGGAGATGCTGCTGCCATGAGGGCTGATGTCGCCTCCACAGTTGTCTTTCAGCTCAAATTTTAGGCTGAGATTCCTTCAAGGCAACTAGTCATGGAACATTGCTGTGCTGGGCCCTCACTGGGGACCTGGAAGGGGGCAAATGATGGCCCCCCCAACAAAGGCACTTCCACCCAGACACTCTGAGTGTGACCTTATTTGGAAACAGTATCTTTGCAGATGTGATTCAAGATTTGAGATGAGGTCATCCTCGACTGGTGTGGGCCTAAGTCCAGTGACAAGTGTCCTTAGAAGAGAAGAGGACACAGAGAAGCCACATGACGATGGAGGTGGAGATGGAAGGGATGAGGCCACAAGCCAGGGGACACCTGGGGCCCCCGGAAGCTGGGAGAGGCAGGAAGGAGCCTCCCCTGGAGCCTAGACTTCAGACTTCCAATCTCCAGAGCTGGGGGACGACACATCTCTGTGCTGTTATGCCCCCTGGTTTGTGTGCTTTGTTACAGCGGCCCTGGGACACTCCCACTGCCCTGGAGGAGGCAACGAGGGGTCACATATGGCCGGATCCAGGAGCCACAGACCTGGGGGGAGGTGGAGTCTGAGCGGAACAGAGAGATGCTCAGAACAGGAGGTGAGCAGGGTGGGCAGGCGTCACTCACCACTGCCCTGGGCTGTGGGCAGGGAGGGGACACCAGGAGCGCTGCCCTTGGCAGGGGCGTTTGTGGACAGAGAGCAAAGAGGCCTTCGCAGCCACCAACAGATCCTTCAGCACTTGGAGGGCAGGTGGCTGGTTTTTGTTTGTTGTTTGTTTTTAAATCAAAGAATGGCTTTATCTTGTGTTGTCCTCGCAGACACATTGGAACGGACCTGGGGTGATGGGATGAGGAGCCTGGGTGGGTCCATACCCAGGGCTGGGGAGGGGCAGTTTCACGTTTGAAGAGATCTGACAGCGCCAGCCCCTCCCCACGCCCCTCCAGAGGGTGGCACAGTGATCCCCACCCCTGCGGATTGAGCCCCAGGGGCTGGGGGCTCCCGGTCCTTCCGCCACAGCCTCTGCCTGCTCCTTGGCCCTGTCCGCAAAGCCATCTCCCCGAGGCAGCGGGCAAGTGGCTACCAACATGTTCCTCTGTGCAAGTGGAAGGTCGTGCCCTCTTAGCTAACTTAAGCCACCCCCCAACCCTGGCTCCTCTCTGGCCTTCCCCGGGATGGGCCGTGGGTGCGAATGTCACTGGTCGAGGAACACCGTGAGCTTTGAAGACCCCACTCCATGGTGACGCCTCAGCACCGTCCTCACCGCAACATCACACATTCCCAGGTTCTGTGTGCAGGTCGCTGGTGCACACCTGGCCACGGCCCATCTTACAGGGAAGCGAAGCTGGCCCAGAGGGGTCAGCAATTTTCCCAAAGCCACGCAGCCAGCCAGCAGCAGTTAGCATCCGATCCACACTGTCTGGCTTCAGAGCCCGTGTGCGTGCGTCACAGCCGTCCCCACTGACACTTTATTGAAAGACCTGTGACCAATGGCATTTACACACGGGGCCGGCTGTTTACTCTGGAACTGGTGCTGCCAGGCTGTCGGCCGCCGTATCTGGAGGCGGTGCGCAGACAGCAGAAATTCCACCGAGGCCATTCTTCGGGCACCAGGGACCACGCCCGGCCTTTATTTATAGTGCCACCACCTCTGTGCAGGCTGGCATGGCAGGCACGGTGTGAGAGGAGCTGGAGAGAGAAGGCCTAAGGAAGGGTGATTTTTACGTTGTGAGAAGAACAGTCAAAGCTTGCAAGAGGAGCGGAAGGCGATACTCCTCCACACGGAACCGATTGGCTTCTGAAGCCAAGATGGACCCAGCGCACATTTACGGCAAGCACTCGGATCGCCGCGTACAGCATAGATGAGAGCGACAAGCCCTGGGACAGGACGGCTCTGCCACCCACCAGCCCCGCAACTCAGAAGAGCTGCCAACCAGAGACACGGAAACTACGGGAAAGGCTCGACCTCACGGGAAATTCCAGGGCCCAGAGGCCATCGTGTGTTAACCGTGTGCTGTGCTTTCCTCTAGTCTTCTTCCTCGATGCATCTACACATGCACACGCACACACAGGTGCACACGGGTGTGCCGACATATATCTGTGTGCACACCATGTGCACACATAACCGTCCTCACCCTCGCACACACAAACACACACGTGTGCACACACACAAACAACAGAGCACTGGACCTCATCCTTGGGCGGGGACAGATCCCAAAGGGAAGGAGCCCCAGCCAGGCCAAGGGGCTGGCCAGGGCGGCAGGGTGCTCAGAGAGGCGGCCCAGTGGCCTGTGGGGATGGAGGGTCAGTGCTGAGGAGCACTTCGGAGTCCCAGGTGGGTGTTCCCAGCAAGTGATCTAAAGACCCAAGACCAAGACACCGGCACCGTCTGACACCTGCCCCCTCTGTACCCCCAGCACTGGTGTTTCACCCTCAGCCTGGCCGCTGCAGGACAAACAGGTGACCGGTGACAGAAGGGGCCAGACCTCCAGCAGGGTTGAGGAGAGTTAGGAATGGCCACGAACAAACAGAGCACCTCCTATTTGAAATAAAAGCCACAACGAAGCCCCAACAAACAGCTCCAAGTTAGTGGTAGAACGTTACCTGAATGAAAAGCTCTGGATGTGACATAAATATTTAAAGCTCAACCCCAAATCACACACATCACATACATTTAAAGTGGCAAATTGAAAATCCAATCTCAGATGTTAGCCAGGCGACCGCCGGCGGTTACACCCGCACAGGCTGAGTTCAGTGGCGCCACTCTGATCCATCATCCCCGAGGCCTCCTTGGCGGGTCCATCAGGAGACCGCTTCTGACGAGTCTCCAGGACCCACAGCAGCCTGACTGTGGGGTGCATTCCCACCTTCTCTGTGCCAGGCCGTTTCTCAGTCAAGTCAGCTTGCAGATGACAGTGCCTATCCAACCTCTTATTATCATTGTTTATGACGCCCAGAGCTCTGCTCCAAGTACCGAGTTCCTGGTTGGAAGGCCAGGTTCTCTCTCTGGAAGGCTTTTGCCCTTAATAGCAGAGTCAGAAAGAGGAAGGCTGGGCCCTCCAGCCGAAGATGGAGCAGGTGGCATCCGGGACATTTGCTCGGCAGCAGGCGGGGGCCGGATCCTGATCGAGTCCAGGCTGTGCGACACCTGGAATCTCACAGCCATG